TCAACCGGGCAGCCGACGAGCTGTCACGAGCCACGCTCCCGGGAGAATGGCGACTCCATCCCCAGATGGTCCAGCTGATCTGGAGTCGATTTGGGGAAGCCCAAGTAGACCCGTTTACTTCACACGAGTCCTCCCACTGCCGGTTATACTATTCCCTGACCGAGGCCCCCCTCGGCACGGATGCACTGGCACACAGCTGGCCACGAGGCCTACGCAAGTATGCATTTCCCTCAGTGTGCCTTCTCGCACAGACACTGTGCAAAGTCAGGGAGGACGAGGAACAGGCCTTGCTAGTTGCATATTACTGGCCCACCCGGACCTGGTTTTTGGAACTCATGCTCCTCACGATAGCCCCTCTCTGGCGGATTCCCCTGAGGAAAGACCTTCTTTCCCAGGGGCAGGGCACCATATGGCACCCGCTTCCAGATCTCTGGAACCTCCACGTGTGGCTCCTGGATGGGACACGGCAGACTTAAGTGATCTGCCACCGGCGGTGGTAGACACTATCACTAGTGGAGTTTGTTTGCTGACTGATGTTCTTCTCGCTGAGAAGACCCCCGAAGATGCCCTATCAGAGTCGTGCTTTCTTTCCTGCAAGAAAGTTTGGAGAGTAGGCTGTCTCCCTCCACCTTGAAAGTGTATGTTGCTGCTAACGCAGTGCATCACAAGGCAGTGGACGGCCGGTCCCTGGGGAAGCACGACCTGATTGTCAGGTTCCTGAGGGGTGCCAGAAGGCTAAACCCTCCTAGGCCACCCCTTGTGCCCTCCTGTGATCTCTCTGTTGTCCTGGCGGGACTTCAGAGGGATCCATTTGAGCCGCTGGAGTCAGTCGAGCTTAAATTCCTGTCTCTCAAAGACAGCGCTGCTGACCGCGCTCACCTCCATCAAGAGGGTCGGGGACCTACAAGCATTTTCGGTGAGCGTAGAGTGCTTGGTGTTCGGGCCAACCTACTTTCACGAGGTCCTGAGACCCGGCCTGGATACGTGCCCAAGGTTCCCACTACTCCCTTCTGGGACCAGGTGGACTTATTAATATTCAGATCAGATCTCTCTGTGGACAATATAATCTGCTGTTAGACTTCATACACAAATTTCTCTAGATTATTACAATTACAGTGGAGTGAAAAGGGATGTTTGGAAAACTCGTTTTCATAATTACAGTTCTTACTGCATATACATTAGCTTCAAATAAGACTTTTAATGGCAGTCATTGTGTAATAAGCTGCCTCTGGCATGCTATGAGATGCGGTATGCTTGCAATATGTGCATTTGTGTACTTGCATAAAGTTATTTTTCTGTAAATTTAACCGTCAGTAGAAACACGTGTGCTGCTTTGAGAGATTCTTTGTTTAAACATCTTAATTGTGCTTTATCAATTGTGTTACTTTTTGATTGAATGATTGATTTTATTTTTTCTAGTTTGGATCATGGAGAACATTTCAGAATCACAGCAGGTTTGAGAAAATGTATGTCTTTTCTCTCTTTTACACACATACACACACTCATTGTTTTTTACATCAGGTTCATGATATTTTCTATTGCCTAACCCAGCCCTTACCCCTAAACATGTGCACAAAACTAGATATTAATAGAATTAGAATGCATTTAAACAGTCAGTTCAAAATAGTGCTAATCCACAGAAAACATAGAAACCCAGCCGATTACATCTCAGATGATAGTGACAAAAGTGACTTACTTCCAGTTTTCAGTGAATTATTAATTTCTTTGTTTATTTTGCCCATCTTAAAATGAGGGGGCCACTCAATATTACATGTAGGCTATAATGTCTGTACTAAATGTGCGCATTTTCAAGTGTTTTTGTGGAGTGTGGAAGCTGAATAGCAGTGTGCTTATACTTCATGACAGTTAACATGGAGGTGCCGGTGCGATCACTTGCACTTAAAATATTCCGTCATTTTTGGTCATACAGACAAGAATAATTACATTGTTCGAATCTGGTAATGGTCTACATTTGTTTGTGTACACTCACAATAACAACAAAACGTTGTGCGCTGTAAAATAATAAAAACAAACAGGATACTATTTCTGCCATCTCGATCCCTGTGAACTTGAGCGCGTCAAAAAAGAACCGAAACTCCATTGCCTCACAGACATGAGAAATAGGATCTACGCGAAATGTTTTAATAATGAACCAATTCAAAACAAAACAAATATTCTCAGATTATGTAATCCGTATGAAACGTATATTGTGCGTCCACCGTAGAGATCACGATTAAGCATCATTAAAGGTGCAGTAGGAGATCTTGGAAAATGCTAACTTTAGCCTGATAGCACTGAACGGGAACGTCCCACCCTCCCTGCAATCGCCACAGACCAGAATACCTGAGACAACATTACTACAATAGGCTACATCAGCGGTTCCCAATTCCAGCCCATGTTCTGAAGTGAACGGATTTCCCCCGCTCAGCAATGAACACTGTGTAGGGATCATATCGATCGGAACACAGTTCATGCACGTAGCTCACTTCTAACGACCTGGCGCGAGGACTGGATTAACCGCTGGGCTACATCATGTGTCATTCACCGGTGAGAAAACTTTAAAAGTAACGTTACTACAATACCAGGAAGGAAGATCGGGTTGTTGATGTTTGTCTGCCATTCTCGCTCTGTCTGCACAGCGTGCGTGAATGCGCTGATGACGTATCCTGGAACCGGGTGCGCAGAGGTATGCTAATACATACGTTGACAGGCAGGTAGGAAAGCATATTAAAAGGCTCGGACAGAAGCGTTTTGATTGGACGAACATTTCTTGATCCTACGCCTTCCACAGAATATATAAATACAGACAAATACATTTAGAATACATATACTTAACTTAATGATTGCTATCGGGATGTAAAGAGACTTTCAACCAGCATAACAAAAAATGTTTCTGAAGACAATCACCTATTGCACCTTTAACTTTATTAGTTTCTCAAAAAAATTTTTAAATGGTAAGGTAGCCTCCTTGCTGTTTTCCCTGAAACATTAAATTACTTTTTTTTTATATACTTTAAGCAATCAGAAATCTGGGGCTACGCCACTGGCATGAAATACAGACTGAACTACAAAACTTTCTTGAAAAGATTCTCAGCTGGATGAAGAAAGCCATAATGTCAGCTGCATGGCCGACATTTGACTCTTGAGTAAGGAGGGGGCAAGAAAAAAAAGCATCGTGAATCGTTGTTACCAAAGGCGAGACATGTGAAGAAAAAAATTAATGATCAGTTGTGTGACTATATTCTGTCATAAGTCACATACCATTCAATCCTGAATTTTCTACCGTTCGTTACTTGAAATTTAATTACTGGTTGATATGTCCCGATCTCAATAAAGTTTACTCACACTTTTGGTCCGTGAACTGGATGTCGCTCTGAACGCGAGCTGTCTGTGGATGTTTGGCCAGGACTTTGCTTTCATTATTTTACAAAAGTGCAATGTTTTGTTGTTATTGTGAGTGCACACAAATAAACATAGAGTCTTTACAGATTTGAAAGATGTATTACTCTTATCTGTATGACCAAAAAAGACAGAATAATTTAGAATAAAGTGAGCACACCGGCGCCCCCATCTGTCCTGCTGTGAGCTGCTGTTCAGCTTCCACTCCACACAGACACTTGAATATAGCGCACATTTCTCTAGGTTAACATTAGATTGAGCGGCCGTGTAATGTTGCTTCTACTTACATATTTCAGATGATAAGCCATATTTGAGCTCGATGAATGATAAGTGGATGACTAACGATTAGTCCACTATTGGGGGGCAGCCCTAGTATTTAGCACCCTTTAGTACGATAAACCAAATCAGTGTCTTGCTAGTAAAGTTCTGATGAATGACAATTGTAATCAAGGTAAAGACAATTACAGTAAAGTAACATACAAGAGTCTGTTATTTTTTATGCGCAAACACATGCACATTCACATTGATCACTATAACACATTTTGCATTAACACATTTCAAAATATTCACAGTTTTCAAAATTCATGTCCTGCGAGTGTTTAATAATGGATGCTCACCAAAGAAGCATGTTTTGAAAGAGCTTGTGAGGGTCAGCTTTGTTTATGTATATATGGCAACTTGTCACTCAAGGACAAAGATGAATTCTCACTCAATTTCATACAAATTCCTATTACTATTTGATAATAAAATATCAAGTGTCTGCTTTCAAACAAGACCAGGATTTATGTCTGTAGACCAAATGATTCAAGAGCTTCAGTCATTTGATTTTGGGCATGTCATATTTAGCTGGTCAACAGGTTAACTAAAGGGTTACATAAAATGTCTTCACTAGTCAGTTATCATGATATTTCACTATATAAGTGAGGACATTTGGCCCTCACAAGTATAGCTAAACAAGAACACAGTTCTAAAACTGTCCTTCAAGTACTTCTAATCTCTGTTCTTGTGTTCAGATGCCTATGATCTCACACTGGATCCGAACACAGTAAACGCTCAACTCATCTTGTCTGAGGAAAACAGAAAGGTGACACGTGTGGAAGACTATCAGCCGTATCCCGATCATCCAGAGAGATTTGTTGAGTGGTGTCAGATTCTGTGTACAGAGAGTCTGATTGGACGCTGTTACTGGGAGGCTGAATGGAGTGGATGGTCTTATATATCAGCGGCATATAAAGGAATCAGTAGGAAAGAAGGAAATAACTCTTGGTTTGGATACAATGACAAATCTTGGAGTCTGAACTGCTCTAAAAAAGCATTCACTGTCTGGCACAATAACAAGCGAACTGAAATTCCTCGCCCTTCATCCTCTAATAGAGTAGGAGTGTATCTGGACTGGTCGGCCGGCACGCTGTCCTTCTACAGCATCTCTGACACACACACACTCACACACTTACACACATTCAACACCACATTCACTGAACCCCTCTATGCTGGGTTCGGGGTGTTTGATTCCTCATTGACTCTGTGTCAAATTAAACAACCTGCTGAGTAGTTACTAATTATATGTCATCTGAATTACATAATCAGATTCCAAAAATAAGGAGTTGTAATTTGATTAATTGTAGTCTGACTGAGTATTTTAAAAGGCTATATACTTTCTAATTGATGACTTATTGATTCTCTATAATTATTATTGTTTTCTAAAAAAGTTTATCATTTATATATGTATAGTATGTCTTGTAGAATTGCACAAACAGACCAGACATCTGTCATCTCTCAGATTCTTCTACTCACCCCAGGTATTTAACCAGGTATTAGAGTAGAAGATTTTCTTGGTAGAGGGAAGCATGGTCCTACTATTAGCAAAGCTCATGGAGTCTCAATTAAGAAACTTTGTTTCCAGCTCTATCATGTAAGGTTTTCTTCTCTTTATATATATATTTTTGTATCTGTTTTCAATTGATATATTGAATTTATGTTTATGTTCCCTCTTTAAATGTTACTCTTTTTTGCTGTATGAGTAGTTGCAAAGACTCTACTGATATAGACATCGAGTGGAGTTAGGAGTTCTTCATAAAGGATTGTTAACACCACATCACCTTGTGAATTATCAAATGTCCCAAGTACAAGGATTTAGCTTTGTGGACTGACATTTTTGCTGGATTATTTTAAGAGCGCATGAAGGACTATTTTTTTCTTTTGAAATCATCAGCAGGACTTGGGAATCATCATAGACATAGACTATTTCACCTTCTATTGCATTGCTTCCATTCTCATTCAAGGATTTGGATCCGCGCTCGGCCACACCCTCAACATTCGCATAATCTGCGTGCTGAAAGACATGCAGCCGAAAGGAATACGGTTTCCCCCAGGATTTAGATATCTCCACGCTAGAACAAGCCGCTCAGAGGCACGATCCATCACATCCAGCATATCCCTGTATGCGCGGCTGGGAATGCCCGATGACGACTCGGTGCTCACACTCTCATCATCGTCACCAACCACATCAACCTCTTCATTTTCGTCACTATAACTAGAAGAGCCCAGCAGCGCACTATCAGGATCAGATGACTCCAACGACAGAGTGTTTGGATCCCGCAGCACGCTAGAGCCCGTGGTAGGAGCCTTTGAAAGATCCATGCCTTTCTCAAACTTCTCCGCGAGCTCAACCTGCGATCCCCACGAGCTGAGTTTCCGCTGTGCCTCAGCAGCAGCGGGACCCAACCCGCGAGAAAAAGGGACAAATGTGATCGGAACTTACGCATTGGAAATGATTCACAATGCTTACATTCGACGTCCTCAAGCACCGAACGCGTGTGCTCCTCCCCCAGGCACATAACGCACAAGTCGTGCGTGTCCTCAGGTGTCAAAAAACCTAGGACACGGAGGCACGCACTTCTTGAAACGCTCACCTGGGTTGTCAGACATGGTAACACACTGTACTCCAAACAGACGGCTCCTGAAGACAGCAAAGAGGATGACGTATTCGGCAGGTGCCCCCAAACGTGATCGGAGCTTACGCATTGGAAATGATTCACAATGCTTACATTCGACGTCCTCAAGCACCGAACGCGTGTGCTCCTCCCCCAGGCACATAACGCACAAGTCGTGCGTGTCCTCAGGTGTCAAAAAACCTAGGACACGGAGGCACGCACTTCTTGAAACGCTCACCTGGGTTGTCAGACATGGTAACACACTGTACTCCAAACAGACGGCTCCTGAAGACAGCAAAGAGGATGACGTATTCGGCAGGTGCCCTTTTATACTTCCGGGAATCCCGCCTATGACGTCATGGGCCAGGTGTGCCAATAGATTAGCATGGTTTCACATGTGCTTCAGACACTGGTCATGCAGACTGCATTCCCCATAGTGCCCCCTAGGGGGCGCAGCGTGGAGTTCCCTAGAAGGGGAACTGGGGGTCATATTAGTAGGGTTAAAAACATAAAAACTTAAATCAACCCAATATTTACTGGTTATACTTCAATCACAAAATAAAAGGTCAGCTGTCTTCAACAAGACCACAAAATGAAATTTCATCAACATCAAAATATTTACAGATAAATGAATTAAACCTGTCGCTCATATCTTTTAAGTTGTTGCACTTGTTATTACGTCATAAGTCACATGATAACGTCAACATGGCAGATGATGTCCGGATCGCATTCATACTTAACGAGCGCTAAAAGAGTACGTACTCTACAGCCAAATCTCGTTAAGTAAGTACTCATTGAAATTAAGTATCTACTCATTGAGTATGCGGTTTCAAACACAGCCAATGACTCAGAAAGACATTTACTGCCACCTGCTGGAAATTTCAGTTTCTTATTTAGAGTATCATTTCATTTATTAAACCTGTTAACCTGCACCCCCCATTTTAGGACTCGCAGCTGAAAATGACCTACCTAACTTAAAATGGTAACAGTCCCTGACAACAGTGTGCTACACACACAATTTTGGTGTCTTTGGAAAGAAGACCCTTTGGGCTTTACTATCCATCATCCAGAGTTGATAATGCTCAAAAAGATAAAAAGTTATAGACACTGAAGTGCCCTGAAAAAAATTGTACCACACTGATTTTTTTATTTCACATAAAAATACATTAACCTGTTAACCCGCACCTGGACGTCGGCACTGAACGCTCTTTGTTTGCACGTGTAAATGTTTACGAATAGATGAAATGAAAAGGGACATAATTAATCTTGACAAACTATATATCATTCTAAAAGGTCTAAGCCGCAAGCATCGACGATAGATCGCTGTTTTTCAATGGAAAGCTTATAAAGAATGTATTTGCTAAATTTGTGTAAGCAGTACATATCAAAACATGTACGCAGTATGTACCAGATTCATCGTAATAACGAGTCATGTAGCATACAGTGTCACAAACAGAATGAGACCATCCACTAAAAAAAAAGTCAAAGATACGCGGAATATTGTTTATTTGAATTCTGGCGCTCTCGCGTGACGGCTCATGATGCACCTGTCATCTGTTGGGAGCGTAACTTAGCGATCGGCTTTTTGCACAAATAATTATTTTCTTTTTTCAACATTTTTCATATATGTGTGTGTGTTTAAATGGTTGCAGGAATCTAATTTTTCATGGTATCTTCTTCAGATTTTTAAATATAAACTCATGAGACATGTGACTTTCAACCTATTACTTTTCTGGATTGCTCCAGGACTGATTTCATGTATTTTTATATGAAAAAAAAAATTTCAGTTTTCAAGGCACTTCAGTGTCTATAACTTTTTATCTTTTTGAGCATGCGATTTCAATTTTTCCTTTCTCTTTGGAGTGTTACAAGCTCTTGGTGCATAAAGAAGATCTGTAAAGTTGCAAAGACTAAAGTCTCAAATCCAAAGAGATATTCTTTATAAAAGTTAAGGGTCAACCACGCCTACCTAAAACAGCTCATTCTAACATGCCCTCACATATCTACGTCATGATGTTTTTGGTGGAAGATTTGCATAACGCCGCCCAATGTTCACACAAAGAAAGAAGGTGTAACTTTTATTCTCGCTGTAGTGACCGATGAGCTTTGTAAAAATCGACACGTTTCAGAAAGGCGGGGCATAGAGGAGAAACAATAATGTACAGTATGTGGAAAATATTGTGTTTTTTTAACCTTAAACCGCATAAACACATTTCATGTTCATCTGATGGCACATGGAGTACTTTAATGATGTTTTTCCTACCGTTCTCGATCTTGAATGTGGTAGTTCCGTTGCTCCCAATGGGGGGAGAAAATGCTCTCGGATTTAATCAAAAATAAATTAATTTGTGTTCCGAAGATGAACGAAGGACTTACAGGTGTGGAACGACATGATGGTGAGTAATTGATGACAGAATTTTCATGAACAATCCCTTTAAAACATTACACTTACACATACAAATGTAAAAGTTGTGTAAATGTGAGACCCTGATTGTGTTCTTTGTTAAACCCTATTCGGACAGGATTAGTTTTACATGGAGAAGTGGGATAAAGTAATTATTACCAGAGCATCTCAGTGTCCTGTCTGAATGTGCCATCTCAGTAATCATTATGGATAATGTCAATAAATATTAAGGTGACATTTACCTTCTGTAAAAAGGAAAAATTACCTCAGGTAAATACATACCTCAGCTGTAAATATATATGTAAATGTTACATCATTTCTTGTTTAATTCTGTCACGTGGTTTTAGGTTATATTTCTTGTTTATATTTTCATGTCTTTTATTTTGTATTTCTCACTGTCATGCTTCCTCTTTGTCATGTGCTTCCCTTGCTCCTCATGTTATTCTGTCATGCGCTCCCCTTGTGATTGGGTCATATTGGTTGTTCTAGTCATGAGTTCTATGTTCCCATTGTTTCTTGTCTAGCTTTGTTCTCTGTAACACTGTTGGTAAGTTCTATGTTTCTGTCCATGTTTAGTTCATGTTTGCCAAGCCTTTGTTTAGTTTGTATTTAATTCACGTTATTGCAAATAAATCTGTACATGGTTCATACTGTAACTCGCCTCCAGTGGAAGTTTGTTACAGAAAGCTAGGCTGTTAAAAATGAACCCACCAGTTCAGCTCTTGCAACTCTCAGGGAGATCGTTCCTTGGAGAGTTATGTGGAGGATTTTTGCAGACTTTGCTGTCAGGTGGACCCTCAAGGGCATTTTTTGCAATGGACATACTGACCCTTGGAATTACCTAATGACTGAGAGCACTGTGTCATGGACTCTGGCCCAATATATGGACTTTGTCCTCTTACTAAGCAGTTCCTCATTTACTGTGGTAAATGCAGATGAGGTACCGCAATCCTGCAATACCCACCATGCCAGCGCTTGTTCACGTCATGTCTGCCAAACCAGAGACTCCCCAGGAAATTCTGATGGGGGGTATCATGCTCCCAGCCACGGAGGCCGGTCCAAAGCTGACCATGGCCCGCATGCCAGCAATGGCAATTCCAGTGGTCTCAGCACTTCTTGTCTTGGGAGCCCCAGACATCCTACCACCTTCTGCTGTACTCCCGGTGATGGTTGCCATCTTGTGTGTTTGGGCTGCACACACTTCTCCAGCAAGAATGTCCACAGTAGTTCCTTCCGTCAAGGCCAGTGAGGTCATCCTAGTCCTCTCGTCACTGCCAGGGGTGGCGTCCCTGAGATTCCTGTCTGGCCTGATGTGACCACAGAGGTCATCCATTAACTTCTTGTTTGCCCTGATGCGACCACGGAGGTTGTCCCAAGTTTCCTGTTTGCCCTGATGTGACCACAGAGGTTGTCAATGAACTCCCGTTCAACCCAGATACAACCATGGAGGTCATTTATGAACTTCCTGTCTGCCCTAGGATGACCACAGAGGTCAAATTGTTGAAATATTGTACCGCTACGGAGACAACCCAGGAACTTGCTGTGCCCCATGCCATGGCCACGGAGGCTATTCATGTTCTTACTCCACCATGGCCTTGTTCAGTGCTCAACGGTCTAGGCCTGCCAGTGCTCCACCGCCCAAGTCTGCAATTGGACCACAACCCTCTGCTCCACGGCCCAGGCCCTCTATTGCTCCTTGACCCAGTTTCTACGAGTTCACAGATTTTCTCTCCGACCAATTGGTCAACATCAATAAAGCATTGATTCTCAGAGATTTTAATATTCACATACAGGGAGATAATAATGTATGAGTTAGGAGTTGTATTTACTTAACTCCTTTGGGGTCAGGCAAAGTCACCAGACCCACTCATCATTTCCATTATACACTAGATTTAATAATATTGAATGGTACCAATCTTACTGATAGATATTGTATTTTGCAAAGTGATCATGTCATTGATCAGGTAATGTGCATTCTGCTAATATTCAAAATACAATTGCAAATGTATAATTTTCAACAGTGTTTTATGATTCAACCTCAATTATAGTCCCTCAAGAACAATTGCAGTGCTTCACAACTATAGGACAGGGGGAGCTATATTAGCTTATCATTGCATCTAAAACAACATGTTTATTTGATCTGATACCCACTAAATTAATGGAAGAGTTGTTACCCGTAGCAGAACAGCCTCTTCTCAATATTATCAACTCATCTCTATCTCTAGGTCATGTCCCAACACCATTCAAGCTGGCAGTCATCTGACAGTCACAAACTCTACCAATGATGAGCAGAGACTAATTCTTGCACCATTTAGTGTTGATGTAAACACACAAGCCATCTTTGCGAGTCTTACCGCTCAGGGCTTTGTCTCTATCGGCATGAAACGTAGTGAGGCCGTCTAACTGAATGGCGGTGTCCAGAACTCTGTCGCTGAGCCACGTCTCCGTGAAAACAAAAACGACCATTTTATTGGACCATTTTATTGTCCAGGGAGCAGACACTGGAGAGTAGTCCAATGTCTAGTTTAGGATTTGTTTTTAGCCTAGCACGGACCCCCATTCTCCTTCCCTGCTTACGCTTCCTCTTGCACCTCTTTCTGTGTCCCCTCCCCCAGTCACCGGCATCAGACGCCGCCAAAGCCGTTCTCCGCAGGAAGCAGAGATTGCGAAGATTTATTTGATCTTTGTGCTGTATTAAACACTATAGATCATGACATACTCTTGATTGATTACAGAATTACACTGGTATTCATGGACTGGTATTAAGGTGGTTTAGATTGTACCTATTAAAATTTTTTTTTATTTAAATGGGCAATTATCCAAGTTAACATCAGTAAATTATGGAGTACCGCAAGGTTTTGTGTTAGGCCCTCTACTATTTTCAATAGTGATCAATCGATATTGATATTTTTTTATAACCAATACCAATTATTTGCATGTTTATGTGCCCAATAACCAATATGCATAACCGATATTTATTTACCGTTATACTTCTGTTTTTGACATGGGACACGGCCACTGGAGCTGATCTTGGCCACTCTAGTCAGTGCTTGTGTTTAAAGGGATAGTTCACCCAAAAATGAAAATTACCCCATGATTTACTCACCCTCAAGCCATCCTAGGTATATATGACTTTCTTCTTTCAGACAAATCCAATTGGAGTTATATTAAAAATATACTGGCTCATCCAAGCTTTATAATGGCAGTGAGTAGGGTTTTTTTTTCAATAGTCCAATAATGCGCATCAATCTATCATAAAAAAGTGTCCCACACGGCTTTGGGGGGTGAATAAAGGCTCCTGTAGCGAATCGATGCGTTTTTTTTTTAAGAAAAAAATATTTACAATTTTATTAACAGTAATCTCTAGCTTCCGCTAACTGTTGTACGCGTGTTCACAATAGAACGCCTGTCTGGCGGATGATGAAGCTTGGAAGAGCCAGGACATTTTTTTATATAACTCCGATTGGATTCGTCTGAAAGAAGAAAGTCATATACACCTAGGATGGCTTGAGGGTGAGTAAATCATGGGGTAATTTTCATTTTTGGGTGAACTACGGCACGTTTCAGAAGCATCCCAGAAGCTGCTCTCCATGCTTATTCACTGAAGATACATGCCTATGTCTCCTTCGATTAAAAATAAAGGCTAGTGCGGTGGCTGCGATATATACGTAAACCTACCAACTTTCATCGCCATGACTTATTGCAAGAGGAAAAAAATTATGTTTTATTCACATAACATTGGTTAATGGAAACGCCATAATTTCACAATAGTTTTTTAATCAACAAGTTTTGCGCAAATCTGTAATGGAAACCCCCCTACTCTCCCCCCACTCACCATCATGGACAGCACTGTGACTGCAGTGGAGTCATTCAGGTTCCTGGGCACCACAATCTCTCAGGACCTGAAGTGGGACATCCACATTGACTCCATTGTTAAAAAGGCCCAGCAGAATTTGTACTTCCTTCACCAGCTGAGGAAGTTCAACCTGCCACAGGAGCTGCTGAAACAGTTCTACTCCGCCATCATTGAATCCATCCTCTGCACTTCTATAACTGTCTGGTTCAGCTCAGCTACCAAATCTGACATCAAGAGACTACAACTGACAGTCAGGACTGCTGAGAGGATTATTGGTTCCCCTCTGCCCAACCTCCAAGATCTTTACATCTCCAGAGTGAGGAAAAGGGCTCAGAAAATCACTTTAGACCCCTCACACCCAGCCCACTCTCTCTTCGAACTGTTGCCATCTGGTCGGCGCTACAGAGCACTGAGCACCAGAACCATTTCATCCCCGCAGGCTATATTCAGCCTGAACAATTAAAACATTCATAACTATACATTGTCCATCATAGCGGACACATACAAAGAATCAGAAATTTGTACATTTGTAAACTGCACACTTGTAAATAACATATCTGTACATTCATTCAAACAATTACATATTTTTTCTCTATGTCTACTTCTGTATATAATGCATTATTTAATTTTTTGTTTTTCTTATATTAGTGTTATAATTCCTATGTATGCCTGCACTATCATGTATGTCTGCACTATGTCTGTACTTTCTTCTGCACTGGAAGCTCCTGTCGCCAAGTCAAATTCCTTGTGTGTGTAAACATACTTGGTAATAAAGCTATTTCTGACTTCTTACTTAATATTTTTAAGGTGGTATTTATTGTGCATGTTTTTGGAATGGTAAAGTTTTTGATAGAAAATTAAAATATGACTATGAAAGACATGATTATTTTAGTCAATGTTAGCCAGAAGCTTTAGTAAAAATCTGTGATATTGATAGCTTTCTGAATCTGTGTTTTATCCTTTGAATCAAACCTTTATCTTGTCGTTTAAATGTGTTTTCTGTATGTGAATTTCTGTTATTTTTAGTGTGAACAGGACTTTTATTTTGGCGTGGTGACATGATGTCATAAGTCTGCGCCGTGCTCCTGCATCTGTGATTCTGCTGAAGAAAGGTTTGTGTTTTTAATCTTTTAAAGAGTTTAAATTAATACAACCCATTCAGATAGTTTTATAGAGAACTTTGAAATTAATAACTTATTTTTTTAAATCTAATCTCATAATGCATATAATAACATTAACGAACAGTTTTTTTTTGTGTGAGTAAAGCACACATCCACACATGAGTAACAGAAAAGATGCGTCTCATTTAGTTCCCTTTTGTTGTGAATCAGTACATTATAAACACACTGTTTGGTCATTTTAAATTTCTGAACCCGCTGAGACTCAACTGAATCAAATGCTTGTGAAAATGATTGACTTGTTTGTAAGCGCTGGAATCACAGCACACTGACGACACCTGCAGTACAGCAGTGAAAATACAAGAAGAACAACAACACACACATCTGGAATGACAAGTGAATAATTCAATATAATCTACAAATCAGTACATACCAAATGTAGATCATAAATTTCTGTATAATCTGTGTTCATTTATTAATTTGTAGTTCTAGTTCTGAGTGTTTTTGTCTAATCATGTGATTTAAGTGCATTAACTCTCACTCTGACTGCAGTGTTGGGGTGCCTCCAGGACCGGGGTTGGGAACCACTGGACTAGACAAGTGCCTGATCTTCCTAATGTTGTGTAAGGAAAATTTGCAAGACTGGGCAGTTCTAGCAATGTGGTCTGTGAAGTTTAACTTATTATCTGTCACAACTCCGAGGTTCCTGGCTGTTCTGGATGGGAGTTATTGTTGACGAACCTAGCTGAATGGAGAGGTTGTGATGAAGTGGCAGGTCTGTCTTTGCAAGGTTGAGTTGAAGGTGGTGGTCATTCATCCAGCAAGAAATGTCTGTCAGGCAGGCAGAGATGTGAGCAGCTACCATTGGATCATCTTGCTGGTATTAGAGGTTGTGTGTTTTTAGCATAGCAGTGATGGGAAAAGTCATGTTTCTGAATGAAGAGAAGTGGTCCAAGCACTGAGTCCTGAGGCACTCCAGTAGCTAGATGTTGCAACTTAAACATCTCACCCCTCCAGGACACCCTGAAGGACCTACCTGAGATGTAAGACTTCGAGCCCTGCATGGGCCTCAAATCTAGGCCCTGGCCTGAGACTTTCAGGCCCTAGCCTGGCCCTTGTCCAACAGCTTATCAGAATTCTCGGCCCGAGTCCGACTGGAGCCCGTGTCTTTTCTCTCTCTCTCTCTCTCTTTTTCTTTAAAAAAAAAATCACAAAAACCTAACTTTGCATACATGTTGGATTTTATGTTTCACATCTTTTTTTCATGTCTGTTGATTTGTGCCATTTAAACTGGTGTTGACTTGTTTTTGTTTCTGTTCACCCTAGCCCTGATGCCACTGAAAGAGGAGAGTCAAGAACTGAATGAAATGGAAGAGAAAGATCAGAATGAGAAATGCCATGATTTCATGACTGGGGGAAAATCTTTTAGTTACTCACAGGCTCATGAAACCGAATCTAGGAACCTTAAAGTCCAGCTGAGTGTTCACACTGGAGAGAGTCCTTTCACCTGTCAACAATGTGGAAAGAGTTTCACTCGAAAAGACAGCCTTAAAGTCCACTTGAGAATCCATGCTGGAGAGAAGCCGTTCACTTGCCCTCAGTGTGGAAAGGGTTTTACACAGAAAAAAAACCTTAATGCCCATTTGAAACTTCACACCGGAGAGAAGCCTCACACCTGCAAACAGTGTGGGAAGAGCTTCTCAATTAAAGGAAGTCTTAAAATTCACATGAGAGTACACACCGGAGAGAAGCCGTTCATCTGCTCTCAGTGTGGGAAGAGTTTCAAACAGAAAAAAGAACTTGATGCCCACATGAGAATTCACACTGGAGAGAAGCCTTACGAATGCAAACTGTGTGGGAAGAGCTTCACACGAAAAGCTAGTTTTAAGTCTCACATGACAATTCACAAGGGAGAGAAGCCTTTTGTTTGTGATCAGTGTGGAAAGAGTTACAGATATATAGTAGGCTTTAAACATCACATGAGGATTCACTCCGGAGAGAACTGTTTTAGATGTCGTAAGTGCCCAATGAGTTTCTCAGACAGGAATCACCTTAAGAATCATGTAAAAATTCACATCCTAGAGAAGGCTTACATGTGCAATCAGTGTGGAAAGAGTTTTACAAAAAGAGCCAATCTTGAGAATAGGAATCACCTTAAGAATCATGTAAAAATTCACATCCTAGAGAAGACTTACATGTGCAATCAGTGTGGAAAGAGTTTTACAAAAAGAGCCAATCTTGAGAATCACATGAGAGTTCACACTGGAGAGAAGCCGTTCACCTGCCCTCAGTGTGGAAGGAGTTTCACACTTAAAGGAAACTTTAAGATTCACATGAGAGTTCACACTGGAGAGCAGCCTTACACGTGTCTTCAGTGTGAGAAGAGTTTCACATATCACACAGAACTGAAACGGCATATGCAAAGAAAATGCTGTTTTCCACAGTGTGACAAGTCATTTAGAAAAAGCAATTTCATTCTAAAGAAAGACATTTCAGTGTAATGCAAACACCACACTTACACATACATATGAAAAGTCATGTATTTGTCAGAACCTGTTTGTGTTCTTTGTTAAAGAGTATGGCAATAGAAAATGTGTATCTGTTCGAAATCAAGGCTACTTTCACACCACAGCTGAATGTGAGCTTCCTCTGATTCGACTTTATAACCACTTATTTTATTTGTATTGTTACATTTTTTATATCCTTGCCATCTTCTTTGCTGTAGTCTCAAATATTAAGCAGACACCCTTTAATTTAGACTATTTAGAGGCGTTGATGCTCCATGTCACATATGTTGGTCGTTTTTTTTGTGATGGGGTGTTTAGAATGTGTTTTAAAACGGGGACATTTCTGATGACGGCTCTAGTTGGGGACAAAACAACAAAAACCGAAACTGTCCCTCGAAAACAAGGACGTTGGATCGCCTTACTCCGCACAAACTCTCTAGAGTCTATTGTACTTTTCACTTTATTATTTTTGGGTTGTACGTGAAAGTCTTTTGGATTGTTTTAGAAATTAATGAACTCCCAAGAGACATCTAGTGGTTAGATCCTGAAAATGTATAGTCACAGGTGTATCTCTTTAATTACCTCTTACTCCCTGACGAAGGCCTGGCGAAGTGTTAATAGAAAGTGGATGTTATTTACACTACTTTACATTACTTGGTGTAATGTACAGCAGTGTCAATGGTGCAGTGCATGAGAGGACATACTATACATGTACAAATGTTATGTTGTGTTATGTTATTTGCATTAAATATATAGAAGACATTACATATTTGAATGCATTTTGATTTAAATAGACACGAGACACATTTTAAAATATACATCAATTTATTATGTTTTTGCCTTCCAAGAAAAGTTTGTCTGTTTTGTATTTTCTGAGCACAGCCTGGGAGAAGCTTTTCTGCGGCAAGGACTTTACATTCTGGGAAGAAATACAATTTTAAAAACTTGAGTGAGTGGCTTACTTGTAGTAGTCTCTGCATATTTATCTGGGATAGGGGGCACCTTGGATTATGTTACTTGCCTTCCAGAAAAAGTTTGTATTTAATGTATTGTCTGAGTGTGCCAATGTCTTTCTGCTGGGAGACGTTGGGCATTCAGCAGCAGGGACTCTGCATTCTGGAAAAACAAAAAACACTACTTAGAATGGCTTACATATAGTCGTCTCTACATATTAATCTGGGGTAGGATGGCACAGAAAAAGTTACACCTTGGATTTAATTCTTAAGATCAATTCTAAACACAGTCAACATTTTAAAGAAGAAGACAAAAAAAAAATATATATTAGAATAGAACCAATAGTTGAAACAAACTGCAATCTTTCATAATTTTAATTTTATAAATTGGCATGCTATCATCAAATAGTTGGCAACTAACCATCAAAAGAAAGATGCCACAGCTTGACCCATATGTTTGGACTATAACATCGATGGAACTCAGAGTCCAACCAGCTAGGGTTTCAATCCCTAAAGAGGCTCGTGTCTTCATGAAATTGCTGTTGGAAAGAAAAGAGGCATCTTACACCAGGTGAAATAAAGTAATCAAAAACTAAAGGCACTACAGTAAAAGACCAACAATAACGATTCACACAACATGACTGATTAAGTTTGAATTATTCAATGGTTAAATAAATGATTCATATGGTCCAACCTTACAAAAAATAAGCATGCATCAAGTTCATTTATTAAGTATAATATGTATGCACTAGTAGTATACTTGTAAGTGTACTATTTCAATACTACTTGGGACTAAACTTCCCACTTTTTAGTGTATAAAAGTTTACTTTTAAGTATACTTTAAGTGTAACAATACCTAAATTTAAGTACATATATAGTTTACATCTACGTTTTTTCTGTCAAGTACATAAAGTATATTTCTGAGACGTACATAAAAAGTAGACTGAAACAAGATTTTTTCTTCTTCCATCATCCACAGACATGAATACTCGACATACAAAACACAACAATGTTGAGACTCAACAAATAATAATAATAAAAATGATAAATTCTGAACATTACAAAATAAACAACACAAACTGGTAAAAGTGAACCAAAAATAAGTTCAGCAGCACCGATAAAACCAACAAGAATCAAGAAACTCCACTGCATAATCTATTCATGCCGCACTGCATGCTGGGTACCTTCATAGTACATATGCACTGTAGAATTACAGTATGATATTCCAAGAGTGCAGTTAGATACAAGAGAAGTCCTACTGTGGAATTACTGTGAAAGTTATGCAATTATTAACCTGGAATATACTGTAATTTCACACTAACATTTTTTAACAGTGTATGAATTAAAGATAACTAGGGTACTGAAGACAGGTCAAGCGTTCAAGTCTTAGCATCTGACAACAAATGAAGCAAAGAAATTAGCTTGTCCTGGGAACTGTCTTAAGCCTGACTGTAGACATGTGAAAGAGGGGTAATAAAACTGGTCCATGAGGTATCCTTTACTGTTGAACATTAAAAACTGAAATACATTTACATACTGAAGTAAATAAATGTAAAACTTTACATTGAATCCTGGTCAATGGCTCACCTGTTCCATTGAATGAAAAATCATTTTTCTTTTAGACTTTCTATGGTCTTTCAGTAACTGCGTTTCTTCCGCTTCATTATTTGCTCGATGTTCAGGTTTGCCATCCATTTGGTCATCATCATGTTTTTTTTTTCTGGCTTTGAGGTAGTGTGCTTTTTCTTAACTGATGCCATAAAAATATAGGTCACACTTTAGATTAGTGTCCAATTCTCACTATTAACTATCAACTACGACTTTAGCCTCAATAAACTCCTAATTACTGCTTATTAACTGTTCGTAAGGTAGTTGTTGAGTTTAGGTATTGGGTAGGATTAGGGGTGTAAAATATGATCATGCAGAATAAGGCATTAATATGTGCTTTATGAGTACTAATAATGAGCCAATATCCTAGTAATACGCATGATAATAAGCAACTAGTTAATAGTGTAACGGTCTAAACGTTACTTGGTGCAGATTGTTTTATATTTTCACTGGCTATTGCCTAAGGAATATAGAAAAGTATCTGGGTCAATTGTAATACCACTTGGAGTAGTTTGAGGGCGCTAGTGCATAGGGGTGAGCGGATATAAGCCTGGGCACCCACGAGTAAGTCAGTCGTTTGGTAGAGGGAAACCTTATGGTTGAACTGACGCCACCTTCCTGCTCATTCGAAAAGTCCTGGTTTGAGAACTAATAGAGTTTATGCTCAAGTAAAGGACTGCTGGTTTTCATCACACATATCACCGCACTTATAGCACTATTGGACCAGTCTACTCTTGTTGTTTTACTGTGATTTTCTATAAGCACAGTTTGAATTCACGGCACGTCTCTAGGGAGTGAGAGGTGACTGTAAGCAATGTGGCGTTGAGATCAGCGAGGCACCAAACGCCATGAGAACTAGTAGAGTTTACGCTCAAACGTGAGTATTGGCTGACTGTGCTAATGACTTGGTGCATTTATAATGAATAATGACTGATGCTAGTTGTTTGCTTTCTTTTGTAGAAAGGACTTTTCATCTTATATATCACTATTGGACCATACTATTCTTGTTGTTTTACTGTGTTTGTTATATGAGCACCGTTTGGATTCACTGCACGTCTCCAGGAAGCGAGAGGGGTGGATCTGGGTATTGCGTGGCCTTAGTCAACGCGGAGTAAGGCCAGCGAGTCACTAAACGCCATTGACTATTTTCACCTCTCACTCATTGGGATTATATCATTGCATCGCTCTCAAATAACTCATCATCATCATCATCATCAATTCAGCTCATCGAAAGTCCGAACTTTCAAACTAAGTTTCATTTATTACATTGACTGATTCACACAGAGGCAAAGACTGCTTGTTTTCTTTATATTGTTTATTTTGTGGCAATTATATATATATGTGCACTTGGGGAAATAAAATAGAAAAAGAATATTTGTTTGGAGAAGTGGTTTTAACTTTCTGTACCAGTCGAATGTCTGTAGAACCTCCTCAGAGTAACATCTTTAAAAAAAAAGGGAGGTGTTGCAATAGTGAGAATTGGACCCTAAACTAAAGTGTTACCAAAATGTATAAATGTTTAAACAATAATCATGATCAAAATTGAGGACTCACAATTGCTGTTGAAAGTGAAATTCTTTTGTTTCTTAGGCCTTCCTCTGCGACTCTTTACTGGGGTGATTTTCAAAAAGGATCTCATATCATCTGCTTTAATACTTGAGAGTTCACTAAGGACTCCACTTTCAGGTCTCTTCTCTTGTGTAGCATCCTTTTGGGGGGGTTCCTCTCTGCCTATTGTTTCAACTGATGCATCAGCAATTCCTGACTTTTTGGGAATCAGTACGTCAAGATTTTTTTCATGTTCTGTCACAATTAATAGATCCCCTTGGTTCTGCTTCCAACTGTTTAGTAAGTCTTTCAATAGACCTCATTTGTACTCAAACTCTGCCACCACACGGAGATACATGCGTTGCTAGTTCTGTAGCTAGTGGGTACACACATGAATATTTCTCATTTGCACTCAATGAAAGTGTTTTATTTGCGTATATTTTGATTTTCTGTGGACTTTCAAGGATGTCAATATTCGGGACATCTTTGTGCTTCAACCATCTCGAATGGATCAGTGAAATGTCAAAGAGTGGTGCTTTTTGATGCATTCTGCAAAAGAGAATGTGTGTACAGGGCAATCTGAAATTCACAGAATAGTTGCAAGTACATCCAGTCATATCTTTGTTCACTGTATGCTCAACAAATGTACTCTTATCCACCCAGGAAACAGTGAAATCATCACCTTTGATGGTACACTTGTGTTTACTATTTCCAGAGATGTGACCCTGTTGAAAAAACCAGCATATGCTGGTTTTTCAACAGGGGAAACTGTCCCAATACCATTTGGAAAGCTTGATCAGACAGTATCTTGGAAAAATCTTCTGTAATACTGGAAGGTACACGTGTGTCACAAAGTAATGTACACATTCCTGGAACTTTTTATCGCATTCTCGTCTCTTGATGAATTCCACTAACTGTGTTACAGCTTCTGATATTGAGAGGTTTTGATGGAGAACTTTCTTCAGTTTCTGAAAATGAAATTCAAGTCTGTTGTGCATATTGTTTCCCATTATAGGAAGTCTTCTTCTGTAACAATA